GGGTCCTGGGATCAAGCCCCGCATCGGGCTCCCTGCTCAGCGGGAAGCCTGCTTCTCCCTGTCCCACTCCCCCTGCTTGTGTTCCCTCTCTCGCTGTGTCTCTGTCAAATATAAAAAAATCTTAAAAAACAAAACAAAACAAAAACCTGTGAACCCACCACCCAACCCAAGAAACATTGACAATAGCTGTCAACCAAGTGTTGTGTTTTTGGGTTAGAATCATTAGTCTCCTGGTCCTTGGATATGAATGAGTTCTGAGCTCCTTCTCCCACTCATCTTTCTGTCCTACCACCCATCCCTTGCTTGAAATAATCTTGAGTCAAACACACTATATGTAATTCTGGAGTTACTTTTTTAAATTCAGTATTACATTTTAAAGAATTCTTTATTTTGTTGCATGTAGATATAGTTACTGGTTTTGACAGTTTTGTAATATTCCACTGTATTGAATATGTTCACTGTATGTACCACAGTTTACCCATTCTCCCTGTTGGAGAGCAGTGGGCTTATTGCCAGGGTTTTTGAAATTACTAACAATACTCTTGGAACATCCCTATACATAATATCTTGGTATACGTGGCAAACATTACTCAGAATATAATGTAACTTTATGGCATTATTTGCTGTAAAGCATGTGTTCAGTGAAAGCAATGTTGTTGTTTGTTTTCTCTTACCCTACTTTTTCCTACCTTTTCCTATCCTTCCCTACCCTACAGTGCCTATGAGGTGATCAAACTGAAAGGCTACACTTCCTGGGCCATTGGACTGTCTGTGGCAGATCTGGCCGAAAGTATAATGAAGAATCTTAGGCGGGTGCATCCAATTTCCACCATGATTAAGGTAGGTCTGTGTAGTGATACACTGTATTTGAATGCCATTATTTCCTGTTTTTAAAAAAGATTCTTCTGTGAAAGCAGTTAGATTAGTTGTCATTGATTTAAGTGACATAAATTAATGCACTCACAACTTTCTTTTTGGAGAGAAATCATTGAGCTTTAGGATTAATGTCTGCTAGTATACTATGTTCACCACATAGATACTTGATAATTTATGATAATAAGTGGAGGTGGGTAGAAGACCATAAAAGAAAAATTTTTTCTTCGGAGGAGAAAAGTCAGGGTAGAGTTGCCAAGATGTTACCAATAAAAATTTTGACAGTGATATGGATAATGGCAATAATTTAGATTTTCTTTTAGAACAGAAGTCTTTCCTGGTATTTTGATGACTAGCACTGTTCATAACATCCTAACTGAAAATGGTGGAAAGGAATTCCTGCTTCTCAAGTTGTATTAAATAAGCTTCATAATTGTAAAGAATGCGAGTCTTGGGAGACCCCAGAATGCATACTCAAAACATAAAATACTTTTCATTTTGTCTTCAGGGTCTCTATGGAATTAAAGATGATGTCTTCCTTAGTGTCCCTTGCATCTTGGGACAGAATGGAATTTCAGATGTTGTGAAGGTGACTCTGACTCCTGAGGAGGAGGCCCGTTTGAAGAAGAGTGCAGATACACTTTGGGGGATCCAAAAGGAGCTGCAGTTTTAAAGTTTTCTAATGTACCACTTCACTGTCTAGA